TGTGTTTTAATTTTAAAACAACATAATTCTCTTTTCTAGTAATAATTGAGAATGTGAGACACATTTGGTCCACTACTGCAGAGCAACTAAAATTTAACGATGTTTTCATCCTGATTTGGTTTTATATGGCGAACTGGTTCTAAAGACTGGGAATAAACTTTTCACGTTGCAGTGAAAACATACATTACAACATTAATACTATTTCTAAGAGCCAAAATAAATTTCTGGATAAACAATACTAAATTTTAACTCTCAACATCTTACATATTTTTTTCTTTAGGTTTGTTCCTTCAAAAATTGGTTTTTAGATTTTCCTACAATAATGGAAAAGAGATCAATCAAAAGAAAAATTCTCATAGGTATCTGGAAGAAACATCCTGAGGATTGGGAAGGGGGAGTCAATAAAATACAGAAAATTTCATTCCCCAAAAGGCTTGATTGAACTATGTTAACTGCCCATCAATCAAGTTTCTGAAGAGATTTGCATAACTTCACTTGTCTTAACTTTATTTCTGTCAGAAAGGAAGAAAGAAAAAAAAAAGTTTATAATTTTTTTAGGGGAGTAACAAAAAACAAAAAAAGAGGGGAATAAAATGATGCTGGCAGATACTAACTCCTATAAACACTTCACTATATGGAGCAGTATTTAAATGTTCATTAGACTTTAACCACTTAAAAATGAGCATATGGTATTTGTTTCTTGGTATATTCAACTAAAAAAAGATTCATAATTGAAAAACCAAAGTTACTTTTCAGACAGAGACTCAGGTTAGATGCATAGTTTGATTTCTGTAGTTTCTCACAAGTTTACTTAACATGATGTCATTGTTTGGTATGTGCATCTTATGTTCAACTTTGCTTTATAGAAGATTCATCTCTGTTCTATTATATAATTTTATAAGATAAAATTAGTTTACGAAGAGAGTAGTATCACTACTCATCTATTTACAGGTGCCAGTTATTCTTTTAGTGGCAATGTGGCATACAGTGGGGCTTAAAGCTCAGTAACATTTCATACACCAATTGTTCACAGCTACGTCTTATCTCAAAACTTGAATGGTAAAACAAAATTCCTAGATGAAAAAAAAAAATGAACAAGCATCTTTCATTATTTTAGGTTTCCAACTTTTTACTATTAAAATTTCTATGCCTTGCCCACAGTCTGTTAAAATGGAAGTTATAAGCATCAAGGTGCACCTAAGGTTGAGAATTCATATGTGATTAAATTTCTAAAGTGTGTTATATATGATTATGTAATACTGTTCTCTAAACCTGTAGCATCCTACCCTAGATCAGGAAGGCAATCTGGTACACTGAAAAATGTATCTTTCAGCTTTAAGCACAGGTTCTAAAGTTAGAGAAATCGTTGTTGGAAATCCAACTAGCAATGTGTCCCTGGGTCTTCTTATTTAATTAAAAACAAAACAAAACAAAAAACACTACTATGTTGCAGAATTGTTGGGAGAATTAGAGAAAACATACAAAAAGCGCCAAGCACAGCGACAGGCACATAGAAAAAGAAATAAATAATAATTTGCCACTGGCTATTTTTGAAATACAACTAACCTAGAGAATGTGGAACTCAAACTTTCAAAGTCCGTATTTTGGAGGTCACTGAAATAATTTTTTTTTTCCACACTGAAAGAAATTCCTTTGAGTCTAACATCTTCATTTATTCAACAGTATTTATTTGGTGCTTCAGACATATGAAAGCATTATTCTTAATGTCAAGGATACCTCAGAGAAGAAATTAGAAGCATCATCCCTTGCCCTCAAAAAACTTACATTTTAGAGGAAGCCAGACATTAGGCAAGCAATTACATAGTTACTTAATTACAATTGTGATCAGTGTTACAAAGAAAGCCTGCTAAAGTGGGAAATGACCTAACAGGATCAGAATTTAAATTTCTATACAAACATCCCACCTCCCACCAAGGGTTTTCAATCACTCCATCTACAATTAAACCTAATCAAAATCTTTGTATAGACATGATCTGTCCCATCTTTCAAACAACAAAATAAACAATTAACCTGATTCTGGCCATTTTTATGTTCAGAACTATATACTGAAACTATACCTGCTATATAAAACCTACAAATTAATTTCAAGTATTCCACATAGTGGGTTCTTAATGAAAGAGAAAGCAAAGATATAATAAGCAGTTGTCAGCTATCAGGCCATGAACTCATTAGAAAATGCATTTCCTGACACATTACGAAACCAGTATTTTCATATACATCCCATTATTCATTTTAACTCATTTTTTAGAATGTTTTTATTAAAATACTTACATATTTATTGCTGAAAAACAAATTATGTCTGTGATTTTTAAGATCAGAACAATTCTAATTTCCTTACTAAAAGAGAACTCTTCTTTGCTCAGGTACCTTTTAAATATGCCACCTTATGTTTTATTTTTAATCTGGTAATATCCAGTTTAAAGACAACTTCAAGATTCTTATCTTCAGAAGTTAGCACACTGTTGTAGAACAGTGCCATTAAAGTCCCAAGTGAATAATAATAAAGGGGAAAACTGAGAGATCAAATCAATGCTCTCATCAAAATGAAACTAAGTTTATTGTATGAAATAGAATCTACCTCAATGTTTGTCTTAGATTTAAACAGCGTTCACCCAGAAATTAATGCAACAACAATTAACTCAGAGCAGTCATTGTCAGTTCCCCAAAAGTGGCCTCTTCATCTATATATAGTTCATAAGGCAAGCTAGTCCAGGATTCCTGCTGCCAATTGTAATGAATGGAAGAAACATATTTAAATCAAATAGCACCATCTAGCAGAACCCTCACCACTTTACTTACTAGATGTTACTTGGTGTTCAGTTTGGTAGATTGGACAGCAAAAGTGGCAATTATTTTTCATGGCAGAATCACAGAATTAGGCTAGAAAGGACCACAAATACGTCACATTCTCATTTTTATCTCAGATAATATTTTTTTTTTTTTACAAAGTTATCAGGATACAGACTAGATTCAACTATTCCTGGAAACCTAACTAAAATCCAACATTACTTTGACTCTGAAATTCAACCACCCCGAAAGGTCTCAATACAGTTCAATTCCTTCACTCTCAGTAATATGAGATCCCAATACTCTGTAATCATTAAAACATCTTGTTTTTATCTTTTCAGGTCTATTACAACCAAATGATTAATGCACATAAATTGGGCTGTTATTTCAAAACTTAAGTTCTAGTAACTGCTATTTCTTAACAAGGCTAGAATACTGTCTTTTGTATTTTTCATGGCACATCAACTAAATTCTAAATCTATCTCCTCAGAAAATATCTCTGGAAAACAAAACAAAACCAGCATCGCTCCGTTAATTTTGTTTGTTTTGCTACATCAAGGCCTGCCACCCCTAAATCCTACGGGAATTGTGTGTGTTGCTGCCAACACGAAGATTAGGAAACGTTCCCATCCCTAGGGCAAAAGAAACTTTCAGAAGCCTACTAACTCCCCAAAGCAAGGAGAGAAACTCGGTCGTCTCAGTTTTTGGTTTTTATTCAGGCAGCTACTTCCGAGCGCTAGGTAACCAAAGTAGCTCTTGAAAGATGCTCTCAGACTTTTCCCCCAGTCTGAACCCCCTCGGAAAGGCAGAGCGCGTTCAATGACAAGGATAAGCCTCAAACCTCAGAGTGGATGGAGGTGGTTACTGGGAGTCACTGATCTGCTGCACAGAAAAGAGGGGTTCTTCCTCAGTGGTCACAGTCACTATTCGCTCTCATTTTTAGTAACAACCAAATCACCGTTACAAGTACGTAAGAATAGCAGCAAACAGCCCTGCTTCGCAGTGTGCCGTGACGGTGGCATCCCGGGACGGGAGGGGCTCTCTTCTCGCAGGCCTCCTCTGGGCTCCCACCGGAGTTAACACCTGTGTCTCCCCACTCAACGCTTCTCCCCTTCCGGCAAATCCCTTTTCGGACCACTGCTCCTAGCGCACCCCCAGACAAACCTCCTCCCGCCGGCCGCTGCAGCTCACACAACTCCCACTCCACGCGCCCCACGACCACCGCCCCTCGGGGGCCGCCCCGCCCGGTGCCGAGGCAGCCGCGGCCCCCAGACGTTTGGAAGGGAGGCGGCAAGTCTCCAAAAAAAGTTCTCCAGCCGCCGCCACGGACTTGGGTCTGCTGCGACAGGCAGAAACACCAGCCTGCTCCAGCAGATCCCGCTTCTCGCCAGCACACTTTTCCTCCCCCAAGAACTCGGTCCTTCTTAGTCTCCCAAACTTGAGCGGCGCCCGACCACCCCGGTCCCGCTAGGCACGGGGCACCACGAACGCCCAGTCCCTCCGCGGGCTGGAAAAAGCCCGGACGCCCACCCAGCCCACGCCCGCACACGCCCTCCGCGCCCAGCGCGCGTCTCCGCGCCCCGCGGGGCCCCGCTCGGTCGCTCCGCGCCCGGCTTCCGCCCGCCGCGCGCCCGGCACCGCCGCCCTCGACTCGTCCGGCGATCCCGGCCCCAAATCCCGGCGCCGGAGCCCCGGCCGCAGCGCCCCTCGCGCTGCCTGCCCTGAGCCCAGCCCGCCGCTCCAAACACCCACATTCCCACCGCGAGCCCTCCTCCACGCAGCTGCCCCCTCCCGCCCCCTCCGCGACCCTCGGCAGCGCTCTGGGTCCCCGCAGCCCCGGACCCCAGCTCTAAAGTTACTTTGTGAGGAGGTGAACCCGTAGGTTATTTCCCCCAATCACCCAAACAAGTTTCCGTCCTCGGCACCAGCACCGCCACCGCCCCCCAGCACACTCGTTCCCTCCCGCCGGCAGCCCCCCAAGGCCGCCCGCCCCGCGCGAGCACCTCCTGGGAAACAGCCGCTCCCCGCACCGCACGCCCCCACCTCGCGTACCCCTCCCCCTGCCAGCCCACCCCCGGCTCTCCCCGGGCGGAGAGTGTCTGGGTCTGTGTGTCTCCAAGAGAGTGTGCGAGTGCGTGCGTGTGTGTGCGCGCGTGTGAAGGCGGAGGTGGGTGAGAAGCGGAGACACTTACTTCTCCCGGGCCTGGCTGTCGGACGGGACGGCGCTGCTGTTACTCTTGCCTTTGCCGTACATGCTTGTGCCGAGAGCAGCTCCCACTGTCACGCACCTGTCAACCCATCACAGCCTCCCCGGGAACAGCCCCGTCCCCATGGCGACCCACGCAGCCACCCCCACTATTGGCCGCCCCACGCTAAAGCTCCGCCCCCTTCGCCCAGGCAACGCGCGAGACTGACAGGCCTCCTCCTCCCTCAGGCCTTCCGAAGCGCGCGGTGGCGGCTACAGCCTAAGCGGCAGTCTCCTCCCTCCTTCCCTCCCTCCCGGGTTCCCTCCCTCCTTCCCTCTCCGCTCTCCTCCCTCCTCCCGCTCTCTTTCCCCCCTCCCCCCTTCGAACCCCGGCGCAAGGGGGGAATTAGAAACTGCTCTAGAAGGATTTTAAACAACTGGCTGTTCTCTCTGCCGCCGCCCCTCCCCCCGCGCCGCCCGCGCTCGACTCCTCACTGGAGAGAAGGCGCCGGGAGGAGGGGAAAGTGCGGCCTGGAATCGCTGGTAGGAGCCGGCGGAGCTGGAGCTGTGGCGGCCCCAGACTTTGGGGCGCCCGCCGAGTACACAGACAGACATACGGCCCCAGCTTTCGTGGGAGCCCCCACCAGCCCTCTCTCCTGCTCCTCTCCTGTCTGTGACCCCGCGCCAGTACCCTGGATTGATCTCTACAGCCCTCAGCCGTTCTCCCTGGGGTGTCGACCCCCCTCCCCCGTCCCCCCACCACGCCCTGCTCCCAGAGGGCCGCAGGCAGGGGACACCCGCGCAGTTCCCTGAACCTTCTGTTTGAGCGACCCAGAGCGTCTCGCTTTCCCTCCTGGGTAGAGATTGTCTCTCCCGCCCTCGGCGGGCGCCGCTGGGGTGGCGTCGCCTCGCCCCCGGGGCCGCACCCTGCTTCCCTGGGGAACACCCTGCCTCAGGCCTGCCTCCCCTCTTTAGAGGTGAGCCTCCCCGTCCCAAAATGGCCCAGTGATTCCTGGGGACTCACTGGCCCCTGCACGGGACCCTCGAAGCTCTGTGACACGCCGTGCAACAGCTCCCTTGCCAGAAATGCTGCAGAAAAGGGCCCCAGGCATTCCCACCTGGCCTGGTTTTCCAGCCTTGGTCGGTGATGCCTACTCATCCTAACCTTTGAAGTGGAAAGGGCCCCAGAAGGCCTTTAAAGACAGCTCAGCTGTTGTCCATCAGAGTAGGCCCCAACCCTCCTTCAAGGTGTACAAAATTGTGCCACATCTGAAAGGCTGCCTGAGAATATTTCTGGATCAAAGCCCCTAATCCCATTTCAGTAAATGTGCAGAAAGTTTCTGTAACACAATCTGGTTCCCGATAGAACTCCATCCTTTATCTTGTGGAGATCCTTGGATGCAAAATCAGAGTGCAAATGGGGTTAGAAAGAAGACTTGGGCATCAAATAGGGAGTGACAGAGGAAGAGGGGTGCAGGTGGGGGTCAGACTGGGGGAAACATCAGGAAAGGGTGAATAGACATGGAATGGCTATGGGAGGGGAGAGGAAATAGGATTTAAATGGGGAAAGCTACCTTTCTGTTTCTCACAGAGCTTTAAGCTTTTAGTAGTAGGACCCTAAAAATGCTTATGGAGATACAAAGATAAATGGAATGGAAAGAAATGGGCTTTATGACCAACATCAGCAAGCGATAGGAATGAAACATCAACAGAAGGTTAAGGAAGGGCAGTTAGTAATAAAGAAAGAGACTCGGAAAACAGATTGGCAACCAAACATAAATCAAAAACTGGGAAAAATGAAGAAGGACCCGCTATTCTAGTGTTAGAGAAGTTTTTTTGTTTTGTTTTTTTAATTGGAAAAGGTAAAGTGTAAAAAGGTAGGAAAGAAGAATAAAAGAAATAGGATTAAATGAAACCATAGAATATGATAGCAAAAGATGGCAAAAACAATAAAGGACCTAAGTTACTATTGAAGGATGCAAGAAAAATAAAAGTGCTGTTATTAAAAGGACAAAAATCCATCCCATAGAAGAATGAAGAAAGTGAGAAATCACATAGGCTTACGTTGATTAATTTCCAAGAGAAGTAATTTGCCATTTCTAATTCAAAATCCCCCTTTCTGTTTACAATGAACTATAGTGATTTGGTGGTGGAGACATGACATTCATGGACTCAGAAGAACGGGAAGGAGTGATGCTGAGTGAGTAAGTCTCTCTTTTAATGAACTTTTGCTCAAAGTGCTCACATGTGTGTAAGGCTGCCACTCTTTGCAGAGTCTACCTTCAGAGTTAGCATATATAATTTGTTGTTCAGTTATCAACTTTCATTGGCTTTAACCCAGAAAATTAGCATCTCAAAGCTCCATGACCCATAGAACACTCCCTATAAGGGACTGCTTTGAGAATGCTGTCAAGGAGGGAGCTATGGCAGCTGCCAATCCATGCCCACACCTGGACTAAGGTAAGGTTTCCATTAAAGATCAAGAGTGGGCTTTGTAATCTAAAAACAAATTCGTTATTATCCTTGCACTAGTGTTGGGATTCTCTATGGTTCTCAGTCATGGCACATTAGAATTGCCCTAAGAGGATTTATTTTTTGTTGGGTTTTGTTGGTTTGGTTTTAAATACAGGTTTCTGGGACATCCCCCGCCCCCGCCCTCAACTAACTCACTCAGAAACTTTGTGGATGGACCCTGGCCTCTGTATTTTTTTGTAAGTTCCAAGTGATTCTTATATGTAATTAGGACTGCTTAACTCTGCTCTTCAGTGTCCATTTAAACACAGCCAATAAACACAATCAGATCTCAAAGCAAGATTTTTAGGTTGTGGCTATACACAGCAGATGACCCTCCCTACATAAGGCATTAAGACATCTTTACAGTGGACTTTACTTTCTACCCACTGAGCCAACAGATTTGTTAATAGGATGAAAATGTATGACCACATGTGATCTTATAGCACAAGACCACAAATAGCTATGGTTTAATTTACTATTTCCTAAAGAGAAAAGAAAACAAGAGAAGCTGTTTCCTGTCTACTGCTGCAATGTATTCATTTGATTGGTTTTCACCCACATTTATTACATGGAAAAGTCCTTTGAGTAATGGCATATTTTCTGATATTTAAGAAATAAATAAATTGTAAATCTGCACAGTAGGGTGTGGAATTCAGAATAATATGGTTGGTCTTAGTATCCAGAAAGAATAAAATACGAAAAGGTCTTAGTTCAGAACTTGCCAAGTTAATGTCAGAGTTAACTTTACAAGAACGTTATTATCCAACAAATACACCAAGTGAAAACATGACTATCCCTATACGTGGTAACCTTAAAGCTTCAGTAGTAATCAAATCAATTGTCATTAAAACATCTCAGCAGCTATCTGAACCATCTCTATTTTATTTTCTTGTTAATGTTTACACATGTAAATAAAATGCTTCTTTGCCCTTGTTCAAATTATTTTGAGTACAAAGAGTGTTCTTTGCATCAGCAACTGTATCTCGTGGGGCCAATATTGTAATTAATGAGATTTGAAACACATATTCACAGCCAAATTTGAGATCCCAGACACAGAATTGAAGATCCATTGTCTGTTTGTTTTCATTTTTAAGAAAGGAGAAGACAGGAGATTAAGTCTTCCTGTAAATAACCACAATATATTTTTTAGAAGTTAATTGTTTTTTTTTTTTAACCTCACACATAAGGCCGATTAATCTGGGGGGGCTGGAAGAGAGAAAGAGAGTGCTGACTAGCTGAGCCACCAGAATGAAACACATGTATTTGAGGGTTTTTTTTTCTTTATTCTTTCAGATATAGAACACCACAATTACTCAATCATTAGGTCTTTCTCCCCTGCCCTGGTTTTGTTTGTGTACAAATGCACAATTTTCTCTTTTTGGAAATTACATCTTATTCTTGGAAGTCTTTATCATTTTAAAATAGGCAGTTTGTATACCACCCTGCTCTAGATTATGCATTTCTTTGATCCTCATTTTTTCTATAAAACATTAAGGTTAATAATGTCCATATTCTTATAGTGCATGGAACTTTAGAAAAGATTTCCCTTTGCTATATAGAACAAAGAGGCTACCTCTTTAACTTTAAATAGAAACTAATGGTGAATTTAATTATTTGCATCACAGAGTATACTTAGCATGTTAACTTGAAAAAAAAACATTTAGAGTAGAAAATGTTTAGAAAAATTAAAATAAACATTGAAATGTATTAAAATTAATTTTCTTGTTCTGGGGTAATTTTTTCAAAGGCCGAAAATTTTCTATTATTAATTTGTTTCATAAACTAGTTTATGAAAAATATCTTACATTCATATCCTTTTCATTTCAAATCATTTAACAGATATCTGTTTGTGAATAGTCATTATACCTGTTAATTAAATTTTCCTAACCAGCTTTTTTAACTGGGTAAACTGAGTCCTAGAAAGATTTATTAGCATGATCTGATCCATAAAGAGAACAGAACTCGTTCCAGGATGAGAACTCTGTGTTCCTGGCTGACAGTACTGTTCTCAGACCACGGAGCCGCACCTCTTTCTCTCAGAAGTGACTATTCCACAGAGGAATGTGAGCAAGCTCTGAGATGTTTGTCACTCAAACTACTGTATGAAACTTCACTCCCAGGCAGAACAGACTAGCATGCTTAGATTCACAAACTGCTTACATGCCATGTACCAAAGTAATTGAATGAATAGAGTCATTACAACTGTAATACTATGCAACGTGGTCTCTTATACCAGAATAATAAATGAAATGGGGCCTCAAATTAACATTATTTGACACACTGTTATTGGTTTAACATCAGTTAATCTGAGGCAATGACTGTTTTCTTAACCTATTGCCCTAGATTTTTAAAATCCCAATTTAGCTATACATAAACATTTACCAATGGGTTAGGAGAGACTGTACAGATCTACTGGTTCTAAACCGTTCCATCTCTAGAGTGCCTAGTCTTTTTTAGCACCATCAAGATTTCAAGTTTAATAACTTAGAAAAAAATAATCCTGATATAAAAAACTGCACATAAGCTGAAGATGATGAAAAATGAAAAAAAGTGGG